CGCCAAAACTCAGCCTTCACACCATCACCCTTCTTCCTGACTCAAAACCAAGAAGACAAGCAGCCTACCGGATGAACCCGAATCTGATGGAACAAGTAAAGAAAGAACTTGACAAGCTTCTCCAAGTTGAGTATATCTACCCGATTCAGAATCCGATATGGCTTTCACCACTGGTGGTTGTGCCGAAGAAAAACGGCAAACTTCGAATCTGCGTCAACTATAAACAGCTCAATGACGCCACTGAAAAAGATGTCTTCCCGATACCATTTACCGACGAAGTTCTTGACGCAGTCGCTGGACACGAGATGTATTCCTTCCTCGATGGTTTCTCCGGCTACAACCAAATTCACATCGCCGAAGAAGATCAGTACAAGACAGCATTCATCAGTCCATGGGGAGCCTATGCTTATCGACGAATGCCTTTTGGACTCTGCAACGCCCCATTCACCTTCCAAAGGCTTGTTACCAACACTTTCCGAGACTACCTCACTGACTTCATGAGAGTCTTCATGGACGACTTCAGCGTTTTCAGCTCGGAAGATCAACATCTTGAATGCCTGGAGAAATGCCTCAACAAGTGTGAGGAGAACAACATAGCACTCAACCCCGACAAATGCGCTTTCTTCGTCAAATCTGGAGTACTCCTCGGCCACGTTGTCTGCAAAGATGGCATTCTCATCGACAAGGACAAAGTTGACGTCATCTCCAAACTTGAACCACCGAAGAACCAGAAAGAACTTCGGCGCTTCCTCGGCAAAGTCGGATATCACCGACGATTCATCCACAAGTACGCTCACATTGCCAAACCACTCACCGATGGACTAAAACAAGATGCCCAATGGACATGGACATCGAAACAGCAACAAGCATTCGATAATCTCCGACTCAAACTAACAAGAGCACCGATCCTTGCCAAGCCCGACTGGACACAAGAGTTCCACATTCATGTCGACACTTCCGACGTCGCCACTGGTGCAATTTTGAGCCAAACTCAACACGACAACTGCGATCAACCGATCTACTACGCCAGCCGACTACTCAACCCAGCTGAACGAAATTACACCACCACCGAGAAAGAAGCTCTCGGCATGATCTACTCACTTCAGAAGTTTCGACACTACATACTGTCAACTAAAGTCGTAATTTTCGTCGACCACAAGGCACTCCTTTACCTCATCAACAAGCCAATACTATCTGGTCGAATATCAAGATGGTTCCTTTTACTACAAGAATACAACTTCGAGATCGTCCACAAACCTGGCAAAAATCATGAACAAGCAGATTATCTCAGCCGGATCACCACCAGCGACAAACCCGAAATACTTACCGATGACTTACCCGACTCAAACCTATTCCGAGTTTCAATACCAGCAACCTGGCTCGATGACGTCTTCAGTTACCTCAACTCAGCAAAAGTTCCAGATTAGTACACTATGTCCGACCAAAAGAAGACTTTTGTTGCTAAAACCCGACGATACTCAATCATTGGAGGCACTCTCTACAAACTCGGAATTGACAACATTCTTCGCCGATGCATCAAGCAGCCACACACAACTCAAATCATCAAGGAAGCTCATGATGGACCTTCCGGCGGACACTTCGCTGCTGACACAACCACTCGGAAGATTCTTCAAGCCGGCCTCTGGTGGCCGACACTCTGGCACGACACTGAAGAATTCTGCAAACACTGCGACACATGTCAAAGACACCGATTACCACCGAAAACTCAGACTCAACAACTCAACCCAACATTCCCAATGGCACCATTTCAGAAATGGGGACTCGACTTCGTCGGACCCCAAGTCAGCACCCGTCGACAAAATCAGTACATCATCGTCGCCACCGATTACACTACCAAGTGGGCCGAAGCAATACCTCTCCAACATGCCACAGCAAAAGCAACAGCAACCTTCATCTATGAAAATATCATCACTCGTTTCGGCACACCACTTGAACTCGTCACCGATAGAGGCACCCATTTCATCAACCAAACAATCGAACATCTCGCCACCGAGTTCAAACTCCGACATAAAATGTCGACACCATACTATCCTCAAGGCAACGGTCAAGCAGAAGCAACGAACAAAACACTGAAGACCATCCTCAAAAAAGTCATCAACGATTCCGGCAAAGACTGGGACGACAAACTTCTTGATGTACTTTGGGCCTATCGAACTGCTTATAAAGTCACCACCGACATGACGCCATTTAAACTCGCCTTCGGAACAGAAGCCATCACGCCAATCGAATTCATCGTCCCAAGCATGCGAGTCACCGTCAAGTATAATCTCGACACCCGACATGCAGTTCGAGAAAGGCTTCAGCAACTCGAACATCTCGACGAACTCTGACTAAATGCCCTTTGGACACTTCACGCCATCCAAAAAGAGAGAAAAGCTCGGCACGACCGACAAGCATCCTGGCATAACATTCCCAAATACAGCGTCGACGACCATGTTCTCTGGTACCGAGGACCCATCGGCAAACTTGGCCGAAAACTCCACACCAACTGGCAAGGACCTTTCAAAATCATTGAACTATACCCCAACGGCACCGCCAAAGTCAGCACACTCGCCGAAGACTTCACTGAGATCGTCAACCTCAACAAGCTTCGACCATATCACGTCAACATATTCAACATCAGCACCTCAACAAATTTCAGACCCAAACCGACAAACACCCCAAAACCAACAATCAACACTCACCCCAATAGACAAACTTTAACTCAAATCAGTTCGATACAACTCAACTCAACTCAACACGAACTCATCCACCAACTTCAGCAACAAATAGCAGCAAAAATCTGTAAGTCCCAAGCTACCGTTGGATCAACGCCACCTGAGCAAATATCAACAGTTGAACTTGAGTTAACTTCATCACCAATATCCACCATTGATTTGCAATCAAGCCAAATCAAACCACATCAATTCCGTCAACAAATCTCGACCGTTCATCACCAGCAATCGAGCGCTGCACGATCAGCCAACCAACAGTTACAGGTTTCAAGAACCCTAATGGGGCGAGCACTTCGATCGCAGAAAATGAAGAGAAAGATGCCAGCTCATCCACCCCGATGCCTCAGATACGTCATACACCATATTCCTAGGCTTCCCAGCAACGACACAACCACCTGGCTCAAGGACCACGGATTCGAGCTCCTCCACAAGGCCTTTTCAACACACCCTGATCAAAAACTAGCGAGGAAACTGGCCGCCTCCTTCAACCCCAAGAACAGCACCATAACCGACGGCACCAATGAGATCACCCTCAGCCCAGCAAGAATCGCCTCTGTTTTCAAAATCTCTAACAAGGGAATGCTCAAATTTTCAGGAGAAGTTCCACAGCAAATCATCAAGGCCAATCGAGAAATTACCGGTGAGCTCACATGGGAGGACATCGACGAGCAGCATATGGATCGACTCAAAGCCCTCCTCCTCTACTACGAACTTCGCCCAACAGATCGCACCATCGGCAAGCGCACAGCAGAAGTCTACGGAGCTCTACTCGACGGCAAACGTGTGAACGTGGCTCACCATCTCCACGAGCTCCTTCTCAAGCTTCTCGACCGCGCCATCCTCGCCACACTCAACAAGAAGACCATGCGCACAGTAATCTTCCCACTGCTGATCGCTCTACACCAAGCTCTTCCCAACAAGCAACCGTGGACAACCCAAACGAACTCTACAGAACAAAGCGACAGCTCCGAAGAACACTCAGAATCAGAAGGAGCAACTCCCAGCAAGAAACAGAAGCCAGCATCTCAACAATCAGGCTCAACTCACTCCAACAACACCAGCTCCAGCAACAAACACTCCAACAATTCAACTCCACTTCGCCGCCGCTTCACACGCAAAACACCAGCGAATCCAGCTCCCAAACCGCTGATCCGAGAGCACCTCATCATCAGCGACAAGGAACACAACTCACACCACCATCAACAATCACCCCAGAACCCGCATCCACTCGAATCAGCCCCAAAACCGACAACTTCTCACAAACACATCAACATTGCCAAAGAAAAACGTCAGCTGATCGCCCAGAACTCAATTTCTACACCAGCTGAGAACAACATTCTCAACGCCCTGACCTCCTTGACACGTTCTACAAAAGAAAACATTGACTACCTTCGCCAATCACTTGAAGAACACGCAACCATGTCTCTTCCAGCAAATACCACGACCAGCATTCACAAAAATTCCGCCCCTTCAACAAAATTCCAAGCGAAAAATTTCTCAACGGATAAATTAATTTCAACGCCACATCTGGGCCGTTCATCCACCATCAAACTGAAAAGCTCATCTCCAACCACCTCAAAGAATCTGGCCCAACCACGTCACCCACATCCAACGAAGCAGATTCAGCCTCCAGTAACTTCAACTCCCGGGACCAAGAACAGAGCGACCCCTAGCGAGAAACACCAGGATCACCGAGCAGGAGCAGGAGCAGCAACCATGCCTCAGCCACAGAGTCAGGTACGCCGTGATTATGATGAGATCAGGAAGGAGTACGAAGATAAACTTCGCGACCCAAGCTACTGCACCCGCAAGTTGTTTGAAGCCCTGGATCAACGCATGCACCGCGAGCAAGCAAACTACTTCCCAACACCAGCCGACATTGCACAGCATCTTCTCAAGCAAGACTCCTTCATATACACCCGGGGAGCGATCAAGAAGGAATTTTATGAGCCTTTAAACCACCGGCTGGATACTCAGATTGAAGAGATGAAGCAGATCTGCACTGACCTCCGGGACATCAGGAAGATCGTCTCCAAGCAGCCATCAACCCCATCAGCAGCTCACGAATTCACCTACAAATTCAAATACGAAGAGCTCAACACCCGCTACCGAAAACTCGAGGATGATCATACCGCCCTGCTGGCTGAGGTAGCCGACCTCCAGGAAGATGGGACAGATCCACCAGACAGCGTCCCTAACCACGAGCTTACACTCCCACAGTAAAAACGTCGCCTCTATCGACTGGAGCAGCAGCAGCAACAAGCGATGGAAACTGACTATGTTCGCACCGAGGACGGTGTCTAGTTCTGTCAGGGGAGCAGAGTGTCTCAACCAAAAACAAGGTTCAGGGGACTCCGACTTTGAACCCAGGGCTGCATCGGAGCCATAGATTAAATCATGCACAGCATATGGTATATGCTAGCAGTTAGAACCGCTAGCATTTCAAAAGGGGGAATCCAAATTGTGGATCCCTATCTCCATTCCATCGTTTTTCTTATCAATACACAGCATTCTTTTACTCGTGCTTCTTCTCTGCCCTTGGAGATCGGGCCATTTTCTCTTTTGTTTTCTTACTAACAATAGATTTCCAGCGAAGAGGAGTTTTCTCACCTCTTCACACCTTAGAAGTGAAAAACTCCTTCTTAACATTTGGAAAGTGGTTCAAGTACCCAAATGAGAATGATGACGCAAGCGCACCAGGTGGGATAACCATTGCTGCAGGAGAAACCTCTCCCAACCCGCCATTTGCTGCATGTGGAAGGCAAGGTTCTCCATCTGGGACTACAGGTGGATTTGACATCTATACGAAGGGCATCAAAGTTGCCACTATACACTTTGATTGTCCATACATTGGCAGTAATAAGCTGTCTGTCAGCGATTCCTGCAAGAATTGTATTGTGCAGCTTCCGTCCTTTTATACTTCCGGTCCGCTGGGAGACCTTGTACTCAAAGTGGTGGCACTAGTTTAAGCCTCCAAGAGTGAAGCGTAGCAAGCTCCATTGCCAGTGGTCACACTGGTGCTACTTTCAAAAGTATATGTGGTGGAATAAAATGCTATACTCCTAATACTCTGGTGTAATAAAATGCTATGCTCTTAATACTGAAATACACTCTAAGATCATTGAAATGCCAAACAAAATCTATCTCCGATCTCCAATCTTCACAAAAAGCTTCCTCTGGTGGAGGTATCACAGCTGAAGTCCATCCCCCAATGGTTTGGACAATGAAGAGGTATGAAGCTGATGAAGGAGTTGTTGCTACTCTTTCCATGAATTCTTCTGGTTAAGTCAATTCAGCAACTGTTTAGTGAGTTTAAGAGCACGCATTTTGATCTCCGGCGATCCACTGAATTCTTCAACCGTGACTGCTCGTAGCTCGTTTCCCCAAGCTGAGGTTCCTGGATATGTCAGCAAACGATTTCTTCCGTCAACAAAAGATCTGGCTCTGCTTTTAGGGCTACGCAGCAGAAGATAGCCGGTTAGCACGTGCATCTCCGCTGTCGAGACCCTTCCATTGCAGGAAAGCTCCAACTTCGCTCTTCACGAGCACTCTCAGAGATTCTCGTCGCTCGATCACGATGGAAGCGCTTCTCCGATCCAGCATGCAAGCACGCTGATCCCTGCTCGAGCTCTCGCAGCGCCGTACCTCGCGTCATAAACATCGTACTCGTCCACCGCAAAGAGCAAATCGTTGTCTCTCTGCTGCCACCTGTTTTAACTCGTCAAGATCCTCGGCGCAGTAGATCCAGTTCCTGTCCTGCTCGCCCTTCGCAAATGCCACGAGCAGTGCCTCTCTCACAGACGCTACGAGGCTTCTGACTTGCCGAGCCTCTTCTTCGCGCAAGCGCTGCTAGCCCGCGAGATGATCTGCGAGAAGTGCCAAGATCATGGGTCCCGACTAGCTCGATCGTCTGGGGCTGCGATGGACCTGTCGGGAAGCACAAGGTCCAAGTTACTAGCCACATCACATACCGAGCCGTTTCCATAAATCCTACATGGTATCAAAGAGGTAAGATCCTCATGGCTCACCAGTGCCCAAAACAGAACCGTAATGACGAGGATGAGTGAGAATGTTGTAGCGGCCAATAATGAGCCCGTAGAACAAAGTGAGGCAGAACACGTGGGGGGATGACTCCGTAGGGAGATCTGAGGGGTTTGTTACAGAGGATCGGGCGGCGGATCAGTGGGGACTTCTTGGGATGCAGCAGGGCAGCAATAGGCACAATGAACAAAGGCAATCAAGATCTGAGCACAGTAAGGGTGGGATTCCATGCTCCACCCACCTGGAAATTTCTCCCCCCCCCCAAAAAAAACTCCCCTCCCCTTTTTTTTAATGGTTACATGTAACCCCTTTTTTTATATGCCATGTAGGTTTACACATCAGCATTTTTTTTTCCACGTCATAAATGATTAGGGTGCCAATTTTGTTTGCCCTAAATTGAGCACACGGCTTAGTAATTCTTCTTTGGCCATTTCCCATGTTGTAGGGATTGTGATGAGGTATTTAAATTTGGTAGAGTTGTTCTTTCTAGAGGAGGAGGACATGATTTTAGTTCTAGTTTCAAGAAAACTCTTACTCATTCGAATGGTGGAGGAAGTGATTGCTATAATGCTTTCTATGCCATGTCCCGCTACATCTTCATTTGTTGAGAAAGTGATCACTAAAAAGAAGCTCCTAGGGTTATCGATCGATCGAAGCTCCTAGGGGCGTTAGTGTTATTTGTGAAAAAGAAAGATGGTTCTATGCGTATGTGCATAGACTACCGGTTGCTCAACAAGTATACAAAGAAGAACAAAGTACCCTTTGCCAAGAATTGAGGACCTGTTCGATAGGTTGGAAAAGGCAAAATACTTCTTGAGGATTGACCTAAGGTCAGGATACTACCAGATTAGGGTAGCCGAGGAAGATGTCGAGAAGACAACCTGTCGAACGAGGTATGGGAGCTTTGCGTTTCTGGTGATGCCCTTCGGGCTATGCAATGCGCCAGCAACATTTTCAGTGCTAATGAACCACATCTTTGTACCCTATCTAGATCACTTTGTGGTCATTTATATCGACGACATCCTGATCTATAGTGAGACGCTAGAGGAGCATGCTGAACACTTGGCGATGTCCGAAGAATAATTAGGCACCGACCCAAGGTGTTTGAGAAACTAAGGGAACACAAACTGTATGCTAAAGAGAGCAAATGTGACTTTGCTCAATAAAAGGTAAAGTTTCTCGGGCATGTGGTGGGCCAGGACGAGCTCAAGGTGGACTCAGAGAAGGTTCAAGCGATCCAAGAATGAGAGCGACCATCGAATGTAAATGAGTTGAGGGTGTTCTTGGGGCTATGCAACTACTACCGAAAGTTTATCAGACACTATTCGAGAGTAGCCTTGCCCTTAACGGACCAGATAGGAAAAGGGAAGATGGTGTGGACAGCGGAATGCGAGGCGACATTCGTCCACCTCAAAGGGAAGTTGAGGAAGGCTCCCGTGTTGGCATTACCAGACTTTGGTAAAGACTTTGAGGTAGAAACGGATGCTTCAGACTTTGCGTTGGGCGTAGTTTTGAAGCAAGACAACCATCCAGTAGCGTTCTTCTCGAAGAAGTTGGATAAGGCTCAACGGAAGTGGCCTGCCCACGAGAAGGAATTGTTTGTGGTGGTCAAGGCGCTCAAGGAGTGGCAACACTACCTTGGGAGACACTTCAAGGTTTACACGGACAATGTGGCAACGAAACACTTCTTGTCACAGCCCGACCTAAGAGGGAAACAAGGTCGGTGGGCCAATGCCTTGGCCGAGTTTGATTGCGAGATTTTGTACAAGCCTGGGAAGAGCAACATTGTAGCGGATGCGCTAAGTTGAAAAGTGAGCTTAAGGTTGGTGATATCCAGCGCAACAACAACCTTCTAGGACGATGTGCGGACAACATATGAGAACGATGGTCTAGCACAAGAAGTGTTGTTGAGGAATCTAGAGGCACGGGAAGCTCACCAGAGAGGTGAGCTGCCAACGGAAGAGAAAACGGGTTATGCGGAACGCAACAGACTCATCTATTACAAGAAAACAAGGGTGTATGTTCCAGAAGGGGAACTAAGGAAGGTAGCCTTAGAAGAGTGTCATGATGGACCTCTTGAGGGACACGGCGGAGTGCCCAAGACAATGGGCTTACTCAAGAGGAAGTACCATTGGCCAGATATGGCTAAGGACGTCCAAGACTATGTAAAGACATGTCCAACATGTCAGCAGGTCAAAGTCGTGACTAAGGCTAGTGGGGGTTTGTTGCAAAGCATCCCAATTCCAGATCGTCCGTGGAAATGTTTTACGATGGACTTCATCACGGGACTTCCCCCAAGCAAGGGGTTTGATGCGATATTCGTGGTGGTGGACCGATTTTGGAAAAATGGCACATTTCATACCCACAACGGAAGTGGATGCGGAAGGTGTGGCGAAGCTATTCTTCGAACAAGTGGTTCGAGTGCGGGAAAGGCCGGAAGAGATTATCTCAGATTGAGATAAGATCTTCACTAGCAGGTTCTAGAGGACTCTCTTGGAACAGTATCGCACCAAGTTGAAATTCAGCATAGCCTATCACCCACAGACAGGTATGGGGTATTAAGTCAAGTTGGTGGCACTAACACTTCTTGACAGACGAACAAACGGAAAGGGTGAATAGGCAGCTGGAGGATTATTTGCGATGCTATGTCTCGGGAGACCAAACCGATTGGGTAAGTCATTTGGGACTTGCGGAAATGTGTTATAACAACTCACCACATTCGAGTATCGGGGTGAGTCCATAGGAAGTCATCAATGGGCGAGCTATTGAAGGTCTTGTGGAACTCGGCGTGGCCGAGTATCATGGAGAGCTACCCGCAGTGGAGGCATTCATGGCGGAAAGACTCAACATTTGGAATGTAGTGAGGGATTCCTTGGAACGGCCTCAACAAAGGCAAACCAAGTACGTAAACCAGAAGCGCCGGGACATAGAGTTCCAAGCTGGGGAGAAGGTGTGGCTGAACACCAAGAACCTCAGGCTACCAAGTGGGATCAACCGAAAGTTGACCCAAAGGTAAGAACGCATGTATTCCTATAAATGAATTGATCTTGAGTTCCTTAAGCAGGTTCGCGGGGCCTTAAGAGATTGAGGCACGAATCGGTAAAGTGGCTTACCGACTCCGACTTCCTTGAGAGATGGGGAAGATGCACCCAGTGTTCCACGTGAACTTACTCAAGTCGTACTTTGAGGATCCGCTTCGCAAGGACCAAATAAGACCTTTACCTGAAGTTATCCAAGGGGAAGAGGAATACGAAGTCGAGGCCATCCTCAATGCGTGCAAGAGCAAGTGACAAGGACGTGAGGTGAGAGAGTTCCATGTGAAGTGGAAAGGATTTCCACACTGTGAAGAAACATGGGAACCGGAGGAGAACCTAGCGAACGCGCGAGATCTAGTGGAGGAATTTCTGCAAGGCAGAACTTTATGTACTTATGCAAAGTTCAATTAAAGTATCAATTTGTGAAGTTGAGCAATGGCATATGTTGGGAACCGAAGGCGCGCCGAAGGTAAGTTAATTAGCATGGGTTAGCTAGGTCGACCAGGCGTAGGGCACTATGCCTGACTCCCCGCGGGGATGTCGAATCTGTAAACGTATTCTACGGAGGTTGGGTTCAAGTCTCGACCCCATACTAGGGCGTGGTGAGGTGAGGAATATAGGACACCTATACTCCGTTGTCATGGGCTCTTGGCCGGGGAGGCTAACTTAGGCACATCGCTAAGTGGGGGGATGTCCCCGGAGACATGGTCAACAAGTCGTAGGATAAAAAGAGACGTTCGATGTGGGCATCGAACTTCTTCTATGGGTGGTGGAGTTGTAAGGAACCGACTCCTCGAGGTGTCGTAGGCTAAAGGATCCCCGAAAGCATGACCGAAATGACAAAGAGTTCATCGGATGGGACCAAGTCGAAGATCGAGTCCAAGACCGACTCT